TAAATTACATTGTTAAATTTTACAAAGACCTTCGGAAAACTTGTCAACCCCTTTTTGATCGATTAAAAGATAATCCTCATCATTGGTCTTCTACTCATACTGCTATTGTCCAACAAGTCAAAAAATATGTCAAGATTTTGCCTTGTCTTGGTATTCCTACGGAAAATTCATTCAAAATCATTCAAACTAATGCCTTTAATATTGGTTATGGTGGCATCCTTCTTTAGTATGTCATTCCCAAATCCTCTGAACAAATTGTTCGTTTTCATTCTGGTGTTTGGAAGAAAGCACAAAAAAAAAATTGTAGTACTATTAAAAAATAAATTTTATCTATTGTTTTATGTATTAGTAAATTTCAAGATGATATTTTAAATCAAAAAAATTTATTACGTGTTGATTGCAAAAGTGCCAAATATGTTTCGGAAAAAGCTGTTCAAAAATTGTTAGTAAACATATTTTTGCCCGCTGGCAATGTATTTTAAGTATTTTTGATTTTGATATTGAATATATTCGTGGTAGTCAAAATTTCATTCCTGATTTCCTTACCCTAGAATTTTTACAGGGAGGATAGGGATGGCAGCCACTCCTTTTATTTCATATCATAAATCAAAAGTCACCCATTACAAAAACCTTATTTACCAAACTGCTTATCGTATTGCTTGCCTTAAGTCAGCTCGCAAAACCACTCGTCGTGCACAATACATTCAGTTTCACCAAATTACTAGTCGCCACAATTTACTTATTCATTATAATAATTGCCTTAATTACCATATGAACAAATTGGATATTCTCAATGGATGCTAAATTTTGTCTATTCTCTTCCAGATGTCTAGTTAAAAACCTCAAAAACCTCCCAGTAAGGCCATTGTTCCAGCTAATCAACCTGTTGCCCTTCCTCCTATTGATTTAGTCAATCGTTACTAAGTTCTTGGTAATATCCTAAACCTAGTTATACATCTGCACTTGCCATAGACCCATTTGCAGTCACTTACTCCTTATCCACCTAATCCAATCAGAACATCCAAAACTGATTATGTTAAATTTCAATCAACCAATTTATTCTTCAAAGAACCTGTTCACAAGAACATTATGGATGTTCTTGACCTAGTCAAACAATATTTATTGAATAACAACTCAAGCTTTTGGTCACACTGTAACTTTTAAATTCTTATCTCCTCCTGAACTCCGAGAATTGAATCAGCTCAAAGAATGTTCCATTTCTCACTCTATTCATTAATTAACCAAACAACTTAAATTTCTCAAAGAAAAAGTCAAATATAAAAGAATTGAAACTCAATTAACTAATCCTATTCTTATTACTCAAATTGAAAAAAATTAAAAACAATTAGAAAACATAGTTTGTTCTACTTAGTGCCTTCTGGCATAGGAAAAAACATGTTGTCACATTACCTTATATTAAAATTTTTAATGAAAAACAAATTCCTACTAAATCTCGACCCATCCAAATGAATAATGAATTAATCGAAATGTGCAAAATTGAAATTAATGAATTACTTAAAAATAATATCATTAATAAAAGTAAGTCACCTTTGTCTTGCCCTGCCTTTTATGTAAATAAAAATGCTGAACTTGAACGTGGTGTCCCATGCCTGGTCATTAATTGTAAACCATTAAACAAAGTTTTAAAATGGATACGCTATCTGATCCCTAATAAAAAAGATTTAATTAAAAGACTTAGTCAAATCGTTATCTTCAGTAAATTTGACCTTAAGCATGAAGTTTATTAAGGTTTGGAGTAAAAGGCTTACTTAGAGTTAATAATTGTGGGTTAACAGGAGGAACGACTTCAAAATCAATTTGAGTGGGTGAATCCTGAGATATAGTATCTTCGTCTTGAAGATGTGTGTGAGTTAAATAAACTGGTTTATTAATTTGGAAAGTAGAAGAATTATCAATTCCTTTTAGCTTACTATGCATCAACAACGTGGCTTTGATACCAAAGGAGGGTGGAAGCAGCACATATAACTTAAATAAGAAACAACTTAATATAACTTAAATAAGAACTTACAATTGTTTACTGAAAACTGGATAACAGTTCTTCAAAATACATAACTTGTAAATCAATTTGCAAAAATGATAATTATAGAGATAGATATTCAAAGGAGGGCAGAAGCAGCACATATAACTTAAATAAGAAACAACTTAATATAATTTAAATATAACTTAAATAAGAACTTACAATTGTTTACTGAAAACTGGATGATAGTTCTTCAAAATACATAACTTGTAAATCAATTTGCAAAAATGATAATTACAAAGATAGCTATTTTTTGTGGTATTGGAACTCTTAATTCTAACTCTGATTTTCGAATGACTGGAGTAGCTTTTTTATAAGCAAAAGAGATGGCTGTGAACCATGTGAAGGAATCTGACTAAAAGACGCACATGGAGGCACATGGTTGTTGTCTGCTGCTTTCGGTGAGTAACTAAAGTTGATTGCTGTTTTTGATTGTGGAGAATTGTCTGTTTGATGAATAGTGAATAGTAATTTTGACTTTTTTCACTATTCATTGCTTTTGGTAGAGGCATGTGGCTGATGGGAAACCAATATAAATACAAAACAACAGTTTTTCTCAAAAGAAAGTAGTGAGTGAAGCTGTTCTGCATATATAGAGAATCCAAAGACTGGTTGTTTAAGCATATGGGTCCTGAGCATCTTAAAACTGGGGCCCCTAAGGATCATTATTAGTTGAAGCCTCAGAGGAACTGGATTCTTCAGAGGTTTCATCTTCAATCTATGACTTGGCTTGGGCCATCAATAACTTGGCCATCTAAATCAATTCATCACTGGATGACTTGGGCTTAGCTTTGGGCTTTGACTGATCTGACTTAGATTTGGATGACATGGGCTTGGAAGAACTGGTTGTTAGGCATCCAAGATTGACTGGAGGAAGTGAGCTTCCTTGTATAATTGAAGCAGTTGGGTTCTGCTGAGCTTTAACTATAGCAGGAGTTGGAGCATGAATATTGATTAGGAATTCATTCTGGACTTGATCAATTATGCGTGGGGTTTTAAAATTATCCCACCATTTGAAAAAGTGCTAGCGGATGAGTATGTTATCAGAAATTCCATATTGCCATTTAAATATCCAAGGAACTTTGTACTTGGACATAAAAATGAGTAACGAGGGAAATTGTTTTTGTTGTTGACTGGATTTAAACACAGGATGCTTAAATTATGGTGGGATAATTATCTCACAACAGATCTACGTGAATCCATCCAATATGCAATTCAATTAGATGACAATGATGTCCTTGTATTTGATGAAGACATAGGATCAAGTAAACCTGATGGTATTAACACTTTAATATATATCATAATCAAACATTTTATTGGTACACCTATTAATATTCATTCTCGAATCCATGATCAACTTAGTAATCTAACGTGCCCTACTTTAAGTGATGTTAGATGGTACAAAGATGTTTTTACTTCTAGAGTCATGCTTCGTAATGATTGCACTAAGTCATTTTGGAAAGAAAAATTTATTAATGGATTACCTAGTCTTTTTGCTCATAAAATTCGTGATGTCCTTAGTCAATCTACTGGTATCATCGAATATGATAATTTAACATATGGTGATATAATTAATATAATTCAAAAAGAAGGATTAGAAATGTGTGTAGATATGAAACTTAGTCAAAAAGCTACTAAAGATAAGAACAAAGCTAAATATGAATTAGATAATTTTTGTAAACAATATGGATTACCTCCTGTTGCTCCCTCACGCCGCAAATATAATAAAAAGAAATCTTTCTCTAAACCTTATACTAAATATAAAAATAAATATTTACCTGCTAAATCACATGATAACTTCTATACTAAACCCAAAAAGAAATATCATAAGAAATCCAATAAAATTCCTAAGTCAAAATCTACCGCCAATATTACATGCTACAATTGTTGTAAGAAATGTCATTATTCTAATAAATGCAAAATCAAAGAAAAGCTTAATCAGTTACAAATTACTGATGAACACCAAACTCAAATATTTACAATCTAGTCACTCATCTAGTGATGATACTCCCTCTAGTGATACGTCTACCTATTATTCTCCTACTGATTATACCGATAATGATATTGAATTAGGATGTAATGATACTTGCTGTAAACAAGTCACTGTTCTCACTAAATCTCAACAAGAAGAAAAGTCTTTAATTGACCTAATTAGTAAATTAGAAAACCCTGAACTCAAAAGACAATATACTAATAAGTTAAAATCTTTACTCTTCAATAAAGATAAAAAAACCTAGTAATGAAAAACCAATTATCAGCCTAAATAGAACTTTAGAAAGGCTTAAGAAAGAAAAACATAAAGATATCAATTTACAAGATTTACGCAATGAAATTAATCAAATCAAAGTAACTATTAATGAATTAAAAGAGAAAGGCATATCATTAGAAGAAGAAATCGCCATACTAAGAATTAATAAAAGTCTCCAGAATTTTAAACAATCTAATAAATTTGGTTTGGAATCTGAATCTAGTTTTGAACCAAACCCTGATAAAGTAATTTTTGACAATACTGCTTACTCTTCCTAACTTCTCTTACACACTAATTTATACAATTTTTTAACACACATTTTTTCGTAAAAGGTAAAAAAGTTAATCCAAACAATCATCTTTTTTTCCTCAACTTTTTAATTTAAAAAGTCAAAAAATATACTTATTTAAGACATCCCAAACAACCCCTAAGAAGAAAATTAGTAGATTATCCCATATTTGTTTGAAATCTTTAAGTATAAGCCATGTGATGTAATGATCATTTTTAAATTCCCTCATCTGGATTCTTTCATCCCCCCTCATTTTGTATCCACTCCCACATGGGCCTCAATTAATTCTCCATATATGCAAGAGACCACCAATTCAGTGTCCGCTTTCATATTTAAACATAAGAATCAGAATTGGCCGAGCTATATGGGCTGTGTTTGTTTGAAGGGATAAACAACTTGCAATGTTCCAACCACACGGATTAATCTTTAAAAAGCGGTTACATTCTTATAGCAGAAGAAAGAATACCATAAAGGGTTTTTCTCATGGTTTTGAGTTCGGTTGAGGGGCTCAATCTTTCCCCAAAACTCTCTTCAATATGTTGCCAAAGGGTATATATATATAATATATTCAGTTGAATTTATGAACAAAGCTTCAAGAGATTTTATCAACTACAAAAAATTCAAATTATTTCTCAACATAACTAAATACTAATATCAGACCAAAGCATCCACGATACACAGGTTCATGAAACCAATGTTTCTCTTCATTTGCCTTTCCTACGCTTTTGCATTCCGACACATTCTGAGCAATACCACTTTCCCTTCGGTTGTTCTTTCAGACCAACACAGCCAAAATGGAACCACTCTATCTTACACTGTCGAAACAAAGCAAGTCCATTTCATCAGATCACAGGCTTAGAAATATGTGATCACACAAGAAGAAATTTTTTTTTTTTTTTTGAATACATACATCAGGATTGTCACATGCAACCATCTCTCCATAGCTCACTTGGTTGCAGAAACAGTAGGTGGGTTCGTTGGGATCCACCGGTAGATCCAAATCCATACTGGTTGGATTTGCAGTTACTGATGCTGTTGTTGTGGCAGCCAGGCGAGTCCTGCACAAATAGGCACTTACTAAATTATTAAATTGACAAATGCTGTTGTTGTGATTAAAAATGCCTTTCCAAACTATATGGTGCAAAGCACAGGAAGGAGTTACCAAGTGAAAGCGGCCTAGTTGATGCCAACAAAAATAGATCTTATGATTTAAAAGTTGTCAGGTTATTTATAAAAGCAAGCTAACAAAATGTTCAATCAGCTACTGTGTTTCTTAAACCCATATGGTAGTAAACTCAGCTAAATAACCATTGACCATAAAATATTTCAGATTTTGACAATGAAAGATGATTCTAAGATTTAGGATGAAAATTTATTTAAAACAATGACAACATGGTTCCTTATCAAGAAAGAGGGGAAAATAAAAGAAAAAGAAGAAAAGGAAAATAATTATTACATGATCATAAATAGAATTTTACCTATCGGAGCTTCTATTTAACCATAACTCAAAGTTGGATATTAATTAGAAACCCAAAATGAGATGCAACTAACAATCAGAAACTCAAAACAGTTTGACCAGAAAAATTTGATATGACTTAATTGGTATTTTCAACAAAAAACATTAAAGTAACACCAAAATTTACAAATTAGTAATTAAGCATAATATGCAGACATATACAAATAAATGGTGCCTGTTATCAAGTTTCATTACTACTTACAGGCCACCAATGAACTCTAGAATTATGTTGGGACTTTTGAGTTTTTCATTCTTCTCGTTCAAATTTTAGTTAGTATAATTTACTTTAAACATCAATCACTCAATTATGGTTCATTGACCATTCAGCAACAATTGGCCCATATACTCTGATTCCTGATATCAGCTAAGGCAAAACCGTAGGGAAGAGTTTCTTTGTCAGTGTTCTATTAGGACTACTCTTCCCCCATAGCTCCTACTATGCCAACTCCTTATCTTCTCGTTTGTTTTCCATTATCTAATTAAATCTTCATATCTAATCTCACTTTCTCTCTCTCTCTCTCTCTATATATATATATATATATTTATGCATATTAAATTAGGAACTTTAAAAGTAGTAACAATAACCATAGTAATTATCAAGTTTCAAATCCAGCTCCCAAAAAGCAAAAAAGCAATCAGGATCAAAAGCTTCAATAGCCTAAATGTGAGGTCTAAATAAATCTAACAGGGACTTCGAAAATCCAGGTATAGGAAATGTAGTTACTTCTTACGCCCTCCTCTGCCACTGGTAGATTTAACATTATTTTCGAGGTTTTGAGCAGCTGACCCAGTTGTAGCAGCACTTTCTCTTTCTGGCACAAGTCGAAAAGCAACATTTCAAATAAGGCCACCATTATATGGAAAACATAGAAGACGATGCAGAAGCTAAAAGAAACATACCACGCCGAAACTCTTCATCAAATTTTTTCAGATATTGATCAAGTTGTTGAACGTGAGCATCTACCTGTTTCATAATCACAATATACACTCTAACCAAAAAACAAAAAGGGGAAATTTTCAACTCAATCCATGATATACTTACAACTGATGCAAAAACAAGATCTGTGAAATGTTTCATTGCCGCATAAAAATTCAATGAACACATATGTTCTAGCAAAAATTCATTCATCAGAATCCCACAATGACCATAATGAAATATAGATGTCCTTACACATGCAGAAAATGATATATGGGTAAAAGAATTCAGGGAAATTCTACTATACACACCCCTAAGTTATGTCATTTTCTTCTTTAGTTGTGACCAATTAACTTCGTTAGTTATGATCTTATTTTAGTTATGACTCATGAGATCTATAGTTATACCTCATGTGTTGTTTTGTTATGATTTTTTTTATTTGTTATGACTCAAAAAGTATTAATTTATGCTATTTTCTTCTTTAGTTACAAGGTGCATATAGTACATACCCTTTGAGGGGGCGCGTACCATAGTCTTTCCCAAGAATTCGATCTATTTTCAAATAGAATCAGGATGGGTGGATGTCTGGAATGGAGAGTCCATGTGAGACTCAATCCAATAAAGGCCAAGAAGATATACAAAAGAACAAATTTAATTAAGAGATTCATTGTAGAAATCATACATAATCATTAAACAAGGAGCGATGAAATCCTTAAAGGGCCCTACTTGTAGAATTGTATGGTGCAGAAAATAAATACAATCCTCAAAAATGACATGACTCAAGTTATATTCAATAAACAATGGGCAGGTTATAAACAGTTGACTATTACTTGCGGAATAGGTTACAAATAATAAAATACTTGACTACAACCTAAAACATGTCTAAAGGTCACTCTTCCTCACGTACCTAAAATTTAAACACACTTACCCCTAGGTTAATTGGGATGCCACCCAAATACCAGCTAGGCTTCAAAACCACTGTCCAGTCAAAAAAATAAGAAGCTGAACTCAAGTAGTTGGGATGTGGTTTTGAATAATGCCAACTAATGACCAATCCATGTAGCCAACCCAAAGAAAATGGGGTTAAGGCTTGTTGAGTTGAGTGGAAAGGAAATTCAGGAACAAGATATCCACTAAGATATTTTAGCCTCTAACAATCAATGAATTAAAAAAAGAAAAAAAATGAGCTAAGAATTATGGAACCACCACATATGCTAATCATCAGTATAACAAATGTGGTCATTTAGCAGAGACGGAATGACAGAGTGCCATGTTTTGTACCAAATCATATGCTTGAACAGCCAAAGCAACCTTCTCATCAGCAATCCTGATGGCATGCTTTTGCTCATCAAGTACCTCATCTGAGAACCTGATATTTGAAGCATCTGGTGTAATGTTACCAGACTTGATTCCCCTCTTAATTTCCTCTATTTCCTGTTCACAGTGCTGTTCATTTTGCTGCTGGATATCTGTTTATAAACAAAGTCAGTAAAAGCTTGTTTAAGAGTTTTGTGGGGGGAGACAATATGATCACATGCATTGTCCAAATAAAAATAAAACAAAACAAAACGAGCTGCATACACTGATATACATAGAACAGAGAAAAATACAGCTCTAAGGTCTTGGCTCAGGTCATCAACCGGTGGGATACAGATTGATTACGGCCCTAGGCTTAAATCTTGCCTAGCAGCATGAGAAAGAGAGAAATACCAACAATTGACAGAATTATAACTTCACATATGCAATTATTATAACCAATATTGCCTCCCCATATTACACTCCTACAAAATTTTATTCTCTTTATTTACTTATTTATGCATTTATTTGTTTTCTGCTTTTCTTTTTTTTTTTTTTTTTGGGGGGGGGGGGGGGGGTGGTTGGAGTTCATCCATCACAGCGTAAACCTAGAGAACCAAGAGATCAGAATGAATGAATGGAAGAAAACGAAAACTATTGATTACAATTAAATGTACACAAAATCCAACTACATGTTTATTATGTTATAAGCAGTAATCTTGAAACCTCTTGCATCAGTTTTATTCTCACAAATTTCCTCACCAAATCAGTTTAGAACCTCACAATAAGAAATGCAGTTTGATGATTAAAAATGGCAAGAAAAAGATTGTTCAAATTTAACTGAATAGCCCGAAGGCCAAATTCTCTCTGTCAGCACTCAGACCCAAATGGCTCTGTCCATTGATTTAGCTGAAACTCAACATATATATATATATATTTTTAAAATGACAAGTCATAAAGTCCAATTTATTGATGGCAACCATGGTATTAATCTGGCTCCGACCCAACAAAACCATGTAGTCCAAGACAGTGGGAAACATACAGGAGCAAGCCAGCACCAGAGAAGAAAATAAATTGATTTAGCTCCAACATCAAGGAGAAGAAACAAATTTCAGAAGGGACTTATAAAATAAATAAATAAATAAAGGTTTCACAGGAGTGGTGCAGAAAACTATTTTTAATATTAAGAAAGAATATAAAAGACATAACAAAAGCATGCTTTCAGCAGTCCTTATCAACTAAAGCATACCTTGTAAGCTTTTATCTAAATCACGCAACAATGCATACTTCCTTTGAAGCATATTTGGCAGTGATTCCAAATCTGAATAAAAGCAATTAACTTAGTGAATCCAACATTACTCGAGTGGCCATTGATGTAAAATCTATCAACATGAAAATTCAAGATCATATAAAATCTAGAAGAGGATATCATCAAATATAGAATCCCCCCAGGTAACTCAATTTAATAAATATCTATCACCAATATAAATATAGATCACATATAACATTAACAAGAGAGAGCACATTCATATCATTGATAGAAATGACCAATTTTGGAAAAGATTCAAATTCATAATTCCGTATCAGAGATTCAATTTAAAAGGCACTACAAAATCTATGTATTAAAACTCAACAATATACGGACTTCAGTGTCCTTGTCAAATCCTCATTCACTGTTCTCCGTGCTTGATCAACCAAGTATAAACTCCTTTATACTTCAAGAATGCCTTTGGAATCCACCAAAGTCTTCAACAAGGATGAACCAATGACTTGAATGCTTGGATACTTGATCAATCTTCAGAGTAGGGGCATAAGCCTTCAATTCTCCAAACTTACTTTGGTCTTCCCCTAGTCATGTATTTATAATTGAGGTGTTCAGCGTTCTAGGGTTGCTTGAATACCAATCTCATCTAAATCCCGAGTTCAAACTGCCTTAGAATTTGCAAAATCGTTGCCTTTCACTGGAGCCAAGAGAAGACCACTCACTGATTTTTGGGGTTTTGAGGCAAGAAAAGAACGTGTTGTGGTTGTGTGTGGTTTCCGCAATTTTTTGGGCCACTTGGTTGGAAAGAAAAGAAAGGATCTTTGGGGACAAGTTAGATGACGTGGATTTGTTGCGGGACAAAGTATGTCACTTGCCGTCGTTTTGGGCATCTGTTTGCGCTCCTCACCCCCACTCATTTAAAGGGGTTCCTTTCTTTTTTATTTTAAAGATTGGGAGAACAGTTTGTGATGTATAGGTGTTTTCTTTGATTTATTTAGTGAGCGTTTGCTTACCTTGTGGAGTACTACTTGTCCTTTTTTTGTATCTCTTTTTATGTCTCAATAAATTTCCTTTTTGTTGCCAATCAAGAAAATAGAAGACCACTCAAGCCATGAAAATCCTTAGAGTTTGGGTGCGTGCAGATTGCTTGAGCGAACTTTGGACCACTCAAGCGGTCTTTGACAGGTGGTGGCCTACAATTGGCTAAAATTCCAGCTTCATGCACTTGTAGTTTGTGTTTCCGTGTCTGCTTGCACTTCAAGTTGCTTCCAAGAACACTTAAAGTCCAATTCTAATAACAACTAGGTTTTGTCCAATTCTCAGCAAAGAGAAGTCCAATGCTTAAATAATTACAATTTACAACTTCAATTAACAATTACAAATCAACTAGGTTTTGTCAAAAGGGGTTGCCAACCTAATCTAAACTTCGAGAGATTAACAATGATGATGAAATGGACCACTTGGTCAAAACAGCTGTATGTTTCACAAGCTGACAAGTCACTTTTAATTTTTCATAGCCCAAATTAGTCAATTGAGTTGCCACAAGACCAAACGAAAATATCTAGCTTTAAAACTACCAAAAATGGGACAATATCAAACAAGAAGACAAAAAAAAAAAAAAAAAAAAGGCGAGAAATTGAGAGAAGGGGAAAAAAAAAAAAAAAAAAAAAAAGGCAAGAAATTGAGAGAAGGGGCTTCGACATCAGGAACTTTGTTTACCAAATAAATAAATATCTTGGAGCATCAACTATCCATTTGATAACTAGTCTAACCCACCAGCAACAACCGATTACTGCTTTGAAGTGCCTTCTTGTATCATGATTGATCCATCACAACCATTCTTGAGTGGGCCAAATTGAATTTTCAGTTCAATAGAGTAAACACCCATCGAGCCTTAAAGAAAAATAGCTGCCGTTAAATGTGAAGGTTTTTCATCAACCCATGATCCCTTGCAGTCAAAACAGCTGTATGTTTCACAAGCTGACAAGTCACTTTTAATTTTTCATAGTCCAAATTAGTCAATTGAGTTGCCACAAGACCAAACGAAAATATCTAGCTTTAAAACTACCAAAAATGGGACAATATCAAACAAGAAGACAAAAAAAAAAAAAAAAAAAAAGGCGAGAAATTGAGAGAAGGGGCTTCGACATCAGGAACTTTGTTTACCAAATAAATAAATATCTTGGAGCATCAACTATCCATTTGACAACTAGTCTAACCCACCAGCGACAACCGATCACTGCTTTGAAGTGCCTTCTTGTATCATGATTGATCCATCACAACCATTCTTGAGTGGGCCAAATTGAATTTTCAGTTCAATAGAGTAAACACCCATCGAACCTTAAAGAAAAATAGCTGCCGTTAAATGTGAAGGTTTTTCATCAACCCATGATCCCTTGCAATTTTCGTTGTCTTATACTAGAGTTACGACCCAAAACCCCTCCTAGCTAATTCCATTTTAATCACAAAACTAACTAGTGTAATTCCAAATAAAGCATTGAATTAACAGGTACTCTACAAATGCTACACAAAGCTCTAGTATTTCAATTTAAATTCCCTATACAAAAGCTCTGAACGAAGACCCAATCCTACGAGTGCACTATAAACCCAATTTATTAGGAATTCATGTTAAAATATCACCAATAACCCCAAACTCTAATTTCAGCATAAGTGTGAAGAACCATAAAAACACAATTTTGTAACGAAAATCACAATTGATTGACAGCTCAGAACCCAGAACGTTGCGTTGATTAACAAATTATGCAGTGAGCAAGTTCAGATTTGGCTAGGGTTTCATATGAATCTGAAATGTAAGCGTCAGAAAATTCAAAACAAGTAGTAAATTAACATATACATATTTATAGATGCATTTATATATAGAGAGAGGGGGAGTTACTGGCTTGAAAATCTTCGAGAAACGACATTGTCTAACAAATTGGTGATCTTTCTGATTCGGTGCACAATCTCAGTAGTTGTTGTGTTACCGGGTATTCCCGCCACAGATAGATTACCTTATTTCGGTTTTGTCCAAAGCGAAACGATAGCCAAATCTACCCCATATTCTACCAAATCGAATCTACTGCTTTTTTTGGGGGGTAATTTGTGATTTAAATTACATCGTCAAACTCTTTAATAGTTAAAACGAAAACGTTAAAATATTCTTCTACATAGGCTTCTCCTAGAGAGTGTTGTTGGACTTTTCTGGATCTATCACACGATTATATTAAAAATTCAAATCGTGTAATATGTTCGGCTCATTAAATATTTTATTTTTATAAAAATCACGTTGATCGAATATTAATAATTATTTCATCATATTATATTTATGTCAATCTTAAATATGGTTTAAAAGTAAATTGTTAATATAAGTGTACTATGATCAAATGACTATTGATATTTGATGAATGTAATTTTTTACAAGAATAAAATACTCGATAAACTTTACATGTTGTACGATTTAAATTATTGATGTGAATTCCATAATGAGCCCACAAAAATTCAATAAAACTCTCCAGATGATTTTTCAGGTGGAGAGAAGGCCTCTCCTATAATTATCGGGTGCAAATTACATATATTTTCTTCACTTTTTTTATAAGCAAAATTTAATCCTTTTACTTCATGTACGGTTTACTTTTGAACACTTAAAAATGAGCAATAATCTCTCATGAACACATCTCTCATGTCCGGATACATATCTCCTATTTATTGTTTAGTTAGGCCCGATATATTTTTTTAGTAATTTTTTAATTAAAATATAATATAAAAAAAATATGTTTAAAAAAAGTTTTTTAAATTTTTTATTATTTTTTTTGTGTATACAAATATTTTTAAAAATCTTTAAAATATTTTTAAAATCTAACATAAATACAATAAACGTATAAAAATATTTTAAAAAATCTTTAAAATATTAACAAACAAAAAGTACAAAAAATAAAACTTTTTTTTTTTGTATTTTATAAATTTTTGTAAATATTTATGTACACATATTTTACTTTTTCCATACATGAAGGTGCATACGTACAAAATTTGCTTCAAATTTGTAATATACTACAACAAAAAAACAAGGAAAATGAAAAATTAATTTCCAATGATGGCTGCCTAGTACACTATCGTTCATGGAGCTATTGTGCATAGGTTTGTAGGATAAAAATTATAGATTTTTTTTTTGAATGATTTTTAAAATTTTAAACTAAAATTACCGCTTACCAAACGAGGCCTTAATGTTTGATGGCCTTATGAACAAAATTTGAATATATATAATTGTTTGCAAACCATCGCTATTGATTAAGTCTGGTTATTTTTGTATGCCTATGAATCAAACATGAAAATTTTAAATATTATCTCATAATAAAATTCTCATATATGTTTGTGTGAGTGATTTTCCGACCACACTGCCCGCTTAGTAACCAGCTGGAGAGCACTGGCAGAATAGATGGCACCTGACTGACCTGCAACAGAAATATAAGAATCTCGCGGTGGTTTCGACCACCCGGGGGCACTCCGACGATCAAGTCAGTATATTTCTCAAAGATAAATCAAGTACTAAACTCACAAGCTTGAGTATCAAAAGCATACCTTAGACCCATGGGGGTGCCTCTCTTTTATAGCCAATACAATCCTAGTCCCAAAAGGAGCCTAGCCCTAATGGACTTAGGATTACTGCTAATCTGGGACTCCCAGTGGGATTAGGATAAACTCTCTAAGAGTCTTATCTTTACCCAAACTGAAGTCTTCTCCCAATCTAGGACTCTTGTCCATATCCAAGTTGAGTTCCCTCTTCATTCTAGGACTCTTGTCCCTTATCCGCTTATCTCGGATTCCGATATCTTTGGAGTCAACCTCGGCCTAGCCGAGATGACCTCGGCGCAACGACCAAGACACGTGGCACCTCGGCTGACACGTCGGCGTCACCTTGCCACGTGAAAGCAAGACACATCAGGTCTGTGACTACGGCACGAAGCCAACTTTCCTAATGTGATCCTTAGTACAACTTATGTTCACATTAGGGGGCAGGGAGAAGGTGTAGGGGGAAGGAATGATAATTAAGGAGTAAGGAATGTTAACACTTGTTGAAATTTTTGAGCAAATTACAAGATGAGTTAACCGAAGGTTATGAAGTCTACCACTTGTTGAAATTTGTAGCAATTTACAAGTTTGGTATAGCCGAAATAACACTGAAAGACGTTTCCGAGATATGATCATCTGAGATGACCAACTAGCTTGTTAAGAGCTGAGAAGGTTGGCAAGTACAAAAATGAAGACCTTAAAGAACTAGGGACTGAAAGCAATAATGTCAGACTGATTTGCTTCGACGGACGACGATGGTTCAGCCTCGGCAGTCAGTCGGAGGAGCTTCTCTACCGTTACCTCGGCATCAATTTCAAGAAAGAAGCAAACTACTCGGCATCAGCGGCAAGTTGTGTCTCACCCCCAGAAGACAGTTGGAAAGAACTTCTCAGCAGCCTTCTCAGCCACGAGCTCAGCATCAATCTCCTGAAGAGTTTGATCAAAACTTTTCTCGGCGATTGGCACCTCGGCGTTTTAAAAGCGAGGATTGAAAGCAAAACTCTGGGAAAAGACACAGAAAACAGAAACAATAATGTAATTCGTAAATAAAAAATGGTGATGAAGCTATCAGGAAATCAAGACAAAAAAATTGTACAGGAGTGTCAAGCCAAGAATAGTGGCAGAAATCAACAGATATGTGAACAGTGTATATTCAAGAAGATGATTTGGAAACAACGGGTAAAACAACAATGATGGTTAACAATGAAGCAGAGCTTCTTGGAAAGCAACAAGAAGTAAAACCAGGAGGAAAAGTGGCTTACCAGAAAGAGGGAAGCCGGAATGAGAATTGCCGAAGTCAGACGACAATGACAGAATGACGTAAAGCTTCACCGGAGGAGAGAAACGAAGACAGTTGCAGAAGCTTGAAAGCTTGGAACAAATGACGGATTTAAGCAAAAGAGCTAGAAAGAGAAGAAGCCAGAGGATTAAATGAAAGAGAAAAATAGTCAAGAAGACGACAAAGTTCAAGAATAGAGCCAAGTACACAGGCACTAAGTAAGTATGTGAAGAACAAGAAAGTAATGAACCAGACATGATGCTAGCAACAGAAAGCGGATATGACAAAGAACAGTTCCAGGCATTTTAGCAATAAGAAATCAAAAACTTGAAGACAGACGAGAACAGAAGGCCACAGATGGAAAATAAATAGATTCAAAGTAAATCAGAAGAGTTATGAAATATTGAGCTTAATAAAAAAGTAAGAGTTTATGAACCTACAAAGTGAAATGAACGCCGATATGAAAATCGCCGGAGTCAAATAGGTGATTGGGAATCGGGAACTCACCAGAGAGTGTGAGTGGAGCAGTTGCAAAGCTCTTAGTTTACGAATTAATGGAACCAGAACCTCGGCTAGGAGGTGCGATTTCAAGCAACTTGGAAAGCATGAAACTTGATTCTTAACACAAGTGGACAGTAAAGTCCAGAGAACTTTGAGGTCGGCGAGTTTGATCTCGGACAGAGGGGCACAGATGAACGAACAGTGTAGGTTCCATCACCTCAGGATGCCGAGGTAATAGAACCTAGGGGGCAGTTGTGGGGATATATTTTCTGAGTACCAACACGTGGCAAGGTGACGCCGACGTGTCAGCCGAGGTGCCACGTGTCTTGGTCGTGACGCCGAGGTGATCTCGGCAAGGCCGAGGTTATCTCCGAAGATATCGGAATCCGAGATAAGTAGATAAGGGACAAGAGTCCTAAAATAAAGAGGGAACTCAACTAAGATAAGGATAAAACTCTTAGAGAGTTTATCCTAATCCCACTGGGAGTCCCAGATTAGCAGTAATCCTAAGTCCATTAGGGCTAGGCTCCTTTTGGGACTAGGATTGTATTGGCTATAAAAGAGAGGCACCCCCATGGGTCTAAGGTATACTTTTGATACTCAAGCTTGTAAGTTTAGTACTTGATTTATCTTTGAGAAATATACTGACTTGATCGTCGGAGCGCCCCCGGGTAGTCGAAACCACCGCGCCCGGGTAGTCGAAACCACCGCGGGATTCTTATATTTCTGTTGTAGGTCAGTCAGGTGCCATCTATTCTGCCAGTGCTCTCCAGCTGGTTACTAAGCAGGCAGTGTGGTCGGAAAATCACCAACACAATGTTAAATCCCTTTAATCACTATATCACCATCACAAATTCATTATTATTATTGTGGTTGTTGTTGTTATTGTGGACCAATAATATATACAAGGAATTCTTTGCCGTGAACTCAGTCCATAACCCAAGAAAACGATAATTTAGAAGATAAAAAATGCTAATTCATAAATTTTATCATAAAATTTACTCAGAAAATAAATGTGTAAATAAAATTTGACGTGTTGTTGTGAGCCATTACTATATTTAATCTGGCCCATATAATTTTGGTTCTGAGTATTTTTTTAGACATTATTTCTAAGAATGTGGTATCAAGTATTAATGAATTTGAAATCTTGCGAAAGGAGGTGAGAGAGAGGGGTCCCCAAGGCTCCTAAGTATAGTTCCTTGCATTCTTGCCAACTTTCACCAAATCCATTTCCCCCCTCCATTTCAAGCTCACAAGCCCCCACAAAGTTCACTCACTCACTCTAAAACATACGCACCTAAACCCAATCATAACACACCTAACAAGCAATACACCATGACTCCAGAATGTCACTGAAACCAGTTCAGCTTTATAAAAAGAAAGTTATGTGAAAACAAAAGCAGCCAGGAGAGAGAAGGTTAAGTAACAACAAATTTTCAAAAATACAATATCAATAACTAACTATGTATGGCAATTAGTATGACGATGCACATAATTGTATGATCATAATTCAACTTAATCAATTGATCAAATCTTTAGCCTATATTTGGATATTGATTTATGAAGGAAAAGAAAAAAAAAAAACTTCATTTATTTTTTTCTTACATAAATTCAAAATTGATACACAATCTAAAGAGGCAGCCTAATATGCCCATTTCATATTTGATGCTTGTGGTGACTTACTCAAAGGGTACTTGGTTGATCTAAACACATTGACATTTTAAAAAAAAATTTATTGTTATTTCACTTTGTTAGAATAGCTTTACAGACATCATTATTAATTGTATAGCTTTATGTTAGAATAGCTTTAGCTTTATCATTATTAATTGTATAGCTTTTATGCTTTCGGTGGTAGTGGGTTCTTTGGTATCCAATGCCCATATTTCTCTCTATAAAGAGAGACTTCATTCTCTTTGTAAATCAATGCACATACAAACATTTCAGAGTCTCTCTCTTGCTCTATAACTTCTCTCACTCTCTCAAACTAATCTTTCACACTTAAATAAATTTAAAAAAAAAACTATATTAGAATTATGTGTCCATAAGTGATTGACAGCCGCATGTAGTGATCGAAATAATAGAGGTAAGAAAATGGAATAAGGAAAAAAAAAAGTTTATACTAATTTGTTAATTTTTGCCCAATTCTCCATTGACACATTATTTTTTCCAAATAAAATAAAAGCCTCGAGCACCGCCCCTCTATTCCAACGGTCACTAAAAATTCCCACAAACGCGTCCTTCTAGAAAGCAGCAGCAGCAGCAGCAGCGTCCGGAGCATTGGGTCAGCGCCTTTGTGGGCTCCAATCTACTACTTGTTTTGTCTTTCTGCGTTTGTCTCTCAGGTCTTCTTCTTCAATCTTCATCATCAATCAATCAAAACAAACCCATCTCTATTTTGTTTGTTCTGATTTCCCGCACTCTTTCTCTTTTCCCCCACATTACCCCTGACTTGTGTGCTTCACAGTTGTTTTAACTTGTGTTTTCTCTTTCCCCATTATCAATTACCTGATTGGTTCAAGAATGCTTGTTGCATTAGACAATCCTAAACCAATTACTAACAAAACATCAATGGGCAGTCAATGGTGCCACGAGAAATTGTATATTAACAGTGACCCCTCAGATCCATGGTAATTCAAGATTTATATCTTTATGAAGAATTTCTTGGATGGTTTAGGAGATTGAAAATGCATTCGACAGGTTTTCCATGAATTGTTTGACAGAAAATAAAGCTGAGTTTGGCTAGGACTTTAAGCCATATGGGCAAGTTCAAGCACCATTAAGTTATGCAGTGTTTAAAAAATATCAATAATAAGTGTATGTGACAATGTTTATTTATTACCATAAAATATTACACATACCTAACTACCCCTCTTTCTCTTTAACACAAGTAAGAAGGATTTATTTTATTTTTTTAATAACAGTGAATGAATGTTCACGCTCTTACTTGCAAGTCTTGGCTAAATTAACTCTACTATAAAAAAAAATTAAAGAGTTCTTTATTATTCTTAATGTGATGCCAGTACAAAAAATGGATTGTGTAGTAGCATTACTACTATTTATTGGGTTCAAAAGAAATCATTATTGTATTAAATGTATCATAAATAAATCAAAACCATATTGGTTGGAGATCACCATGACATGATGAGTTGGTTGGAGCCTTGAGGCTTGGAGCATAGGAGTATCATGACATAATGAATGGGGAGATCAACAAATAGATTTATAATCCAACAGCTATGAGCTCAGTAGCAGCTAAATTATCATGTTACTTCATCAGTGTTTTTTTTTTTTTTTTCCTTGTCCAAAGAGCTTCACTCACTTTCTTTTTGGTCAGGAGTGTGAAAAAGTCTCAAGTCTCAACTCATACAACAAACCAAGAAACAAAGGTTAGTTTTCCCTTCACTCACTCACTCACTGGTCTTCCATTGTCACCACTGTCGGTATTCTCAATACACTTCACTCTTTTCCATACACTACAAATATTACTGTTTTGGACATTATTGCTCATGAAAGGGGTTTATTTGGAGATCTTCATTTTATTTATGAAGTGATTTTATTTTATTTTTTACTTGGAGATCAATGCAAGGATTTGTCAGATATGCTGGAAAGATCTAATTTTTAGTCATATTCAATTATAGAAAATCAAAGGTGTTTACTTGAAATAATTCTCTGCTGGAGAAGGTGTGAATGGAGTTAACTTCTTGCTTGTACTTGATAAAATCTTGGTTCGTTTAGTGGATAAAATTCTATTTTAGTTGGTGGGTAGGTGCAGAAATTTTATACTTCCAATGGCGGCTCTCCATTTCGACTACTTGCTTCTTCTTCTTCTCCTTTTTTTATTTTTAAAATCACTGTGATGAACATTTTCTTCCCCAGTTGTGATTTGGTTGAAATGTTCTTGGGTGTTCCATTGCTTGATGCAAAGTACCTTTAAGATGTAAATTTCTTATTTGGGGAAATCTACATTGTACTGACTGATGTGGGTGCTCTGTTTGCCCTACTGAGAATTGGGTATTATGTGATTTTCTTTTTTTCATTTTTATTTTTTTATTTTTTTTACACAGATGTTTAGCTCATGAAATTGTAGAATGGGTGAGCCTGCTGAAGCAGTTGAGGTTAAGGTAGTGGAAACCAAACAAAGGAATTCTGAGGTTGGTCCATGGGAAGGATTACCTGGGGCTTTGGAGCAGAGAAGTTTCGAACGCTTGGTACAGAAGAAGAAGTCTTTACGAGCCCGTTATTTGTATGGCATTGTCTTTCTGTTTGCAAACCTTGTTGCTTGGTGTGTTCGTGACTATGGACAAAAGGTTACCCCTCAGCTCCATTGTAAGTTAAAGGTTTCTTTCATCTAATTGTATGATACTATGTTTTGTTTTATTTAGGCTAATAATTTCCTCAAAATAGTATGCAAACAATATGCAATTTTTTTCAGTTTTTGTATGCTTGCCCGTCTATTCATTGTATATATTGACAAAAACACGGACTTGGTAGGGTATTTTATTTATTTTTTAACTAGGGTAATCTCATGATGCTGCTCTAATCTTTGCATTCTCTTTATCTGAATTTGTTTTGCAGATCTAAAATCTTGTGGAATTGGGGGACTCGAGTGTTTTCATACAATGGGAGTTCTTCGTGTTAGTTTAGGATGTTTTGTATCTTATTTTATTTTTATTTTTTCTAACAGAATAGCAATTTCTGATTTTTTTCATGAACATTTCTTAAATGCATGTTCCTTTAAACTTGCTTGAAAGTATTAACTCTGGAATTTTGGTATTTATAGTTTAAATCTCTCATGGACTGGCTGATTGTTTTACACGCCAACAACTGTTCAATTTTAGGCATTTTCTTTAGGTTCTAGATCTTGGAGGTTTGCATTCTTGTTTCGCTAAAAAAGAAAATTAATGAAAGAAACACGAGATCTTGGACCTTTACTTACAGCTTTCCTGTATTATGTATTGCATCCTTGACATTGATTTCAGATATTTTTCTTTATAATGTTTCTTACAACATGTAACACAAGCAAGCTGTATGAAACTCGCAACACATGGCATTCAAGATGGTGGCCATTGAAGTTTATTATGTTGATTGTCTCACTAACCATTCCATTCTTTCTCCCCTCAAATTTAATTCAACTATATGGTAAGCCTAATATCAATCAAATTTAATGATTCTTAAATATGATAAAAAAAATGAATTGTTAATTTTGTTTTCTTGCAGGTGAGCTTGCGCGTGTTGGTGCAGGGTAATCTCTTAGCTCATTTACCAATGCTTCCAGCATGAATAGTGTCTATAATTTTTTCGATATACACATAGGTCTTTAATATATTTGATGATCATAAAACAGTTTGAAGTGCACTGAGTGGTACCTATTCCATAATTTCAGTCCACTAAAAAAACATTAGCTTCACACTGCATTGCATAGACTTGAAAAAATTGGATAAAGTTTTGTAGTGTGACGTTTCTCTCATCCAACATTTTGAGGAAATTTTTTATCACAGTTGGAAATAGATCTCTTGATTTTCAAAAATAGTAACAATATTGTAAATATGACTATGTGAAACAGCTTCTCTGTCGTTGGTGCAGGGTTTTTCTGATCCTCCAACTGGTAAGTGTCATTGAGTTTATCACATGGTGGAATAATTACTGGATGCCTGATGAGACAGGGAAGCAAAGGTTTGTACTTCATGTTAACCATACTTCCTATTTCATCAATCTCGAGGTCTATGAGTGTAAATTATAATCATAATTGCATCAACTTATAGTTCTCAATACTGTTTTTAACTTTTAACTATGAAATTGTTGACATTTCATTTTGTTTGTGATCACAGTTGCTTCCTTGGATTATTTACTTCAACACTATTTTACATTGCTTCTGTATGTGGAATTGGGATGATGTATTCACTCTATGTCCCCAAACCTTCATGCACTCTTAACATATTTTTCATCACATGGACTGCAGTTTTGCTTTTAGTGATGCTTGCCATATCCTTACATTCAAAGGTATGTCTTTCACATTTTGTCAAGATTGGACAGTATTTTTAGTGGAATTCCTCAAATCACATATTTTTTTTTGATAGGTCAGATACTGAAAGTGTGTTTAGATACTCTTTTTTCTGTTTTTTTAATTAATTTCACACTTTAATTTCTGATTCAATAATGCAAGAGAGAAATTTTAGCACATATTTTACAAATTTACAAGTCACATAAATCAAATTGGTTAACATTACTAGTATTATAAATTCCAGAAGTTATCTGAACCTCTAATGTGTTCTTTATATTCTTAGAGCAGGTGAATAGAGGTCTTTTGTCTTCAGGGATTATGGCTTCTTACATTGTTTTTCTCTGTTGGTCTGCTATCAGAAGGTTAGAAATGTCGTTTTTTCTTTCTTTCGGAATCTTGATTACAAAGTATTTCTTTGGTTGTGTGCTTCTAAGTTTCGTACTTTTCAAACACATTCTCTATCAGCAATTGAGAATTTACATCGAGACATGAAAAATTGATTCTAATTGCTTTAACACGTATTTTTTGTTTTTTTCAGTGAGCCGGCTGCTAAGAAATGCAGTCCACAGAAACATGAGAACGAACATGGCGATTGGACCACTGTGCTTGTAAGAGTTAGCAGGCTTTCTATTATCGTTATTTTAGATTGAACTCTTCCCTTAGTCAATAATAATCATGCGGGGACTTTTCATGAAATCAACTCAATTTCCTTAACTTTTTTTTTAATATAATATTTCCTTCATGTTGCTTCCAGGGCTTCCTCATTGCTATATTTGCAATTGTCATTGCCACTTTTTCAACAGGGATTGATTCACAAACATTTCAGGTGAATCCCTTCAACCACAATAACTAAAGAAACTGAAAACACAAAGGAACAGAGCTTTCCAGCTGATGATGCAAATTAGGTTTTTTTTTTTTTCCTACTTTGAAAACCGCAAATTTAGGGCAAGTTGACTTTGTTTTACTCAGATTACTAAATTTTAAGGGATTTTGAGCTCGTCCGAAAATTATAGTTCTGCCCGGCATAAGTCAATGAAGAGGTCAAATTAAGGTCACAAGTGTGTAATTTTTGGACTTCTTTGCTTCTTGAGAAATGACGAAATTTTTCGATTTTGTTGCCCAGTTCCGCAAAGATGAAGTCCAACACGAGGATGATATCCCATACAAGTATGGGTTCTTCCACCTGATCTTCTCCTTGGGAGCCATGTATTTTGCCATGTTATTCATTAGTTGGAACCTAGACAGCTCAACTAGGAAGTAAGATTGATTTCAGAGATTCACTTCATTCCTTCCAAATCATTTTTCTCAAAAAGTATCATATTATGAGTATCTTGCATTATTTATCTCTGCTTTCTACAACAGATGGAGCATCGATGTTGGCTGGGCTAGTACGTGGGTTAAAATTGTAAACGAGTGGTTTGCAGCCACCATATATAGTAAGTGTTTATTAATGTTCATCTTTAAATTAATTGAATAAATACTCAATTCCATAATTTTTTTGTTTGTCCACCGGTAAAGCCTTCAAGTGCCTCCATCTCAGGTAATTACTAACTATATATATTTTTTTTCTTCTCTAAATGCAGTTTGGAAATTGATATACCCAGTTGTAAGACAAACCAAAGTCATGGATCAAGAAGAGCCTGTGCAGCAGGCAGGCAATTCCGTGTTATAGTGATTTCATTTCTCGATGTAAACTGTAGAGTAGCTCTTATTTTTTTTTTTATTATTGCTATTATATTTTCTCCATTTGTTACTGGAAGATCCTCCAGAGTCCTAAGCCTCTGGCAAATGTAAAAGATAAAAAAGGATTTCAATTTTTTTAATAATCTGTGAATTGAATTATAAAATTTTCACTTCTGGGTAATGCTATATGGATTCTAATGTCGTGCTGACCCAACCAATTCCATTGGCAAAAGTCCAAATCTTGCTAGGAAAATATGAAAAACCCATTCCCATCTCTTATTCTGTTGAAACAATTTAAGGGTTTTTTTATATATATATTTTTTGTGGTTTTGTTATACCCGAAACACTTGACCATCTCCAACTAGTAAATATTACACAAAATGAATATATCTGGATGGTTGTGATGATACCCATCAGATATCTGGAATTCCAGGTGATCTCTCTCTAGAGTGGAGCCCATCATCCAAGCCAACCCGTCCATGACACGTGTCCTTAAAAAGAATGAACAGCTGATATAGCATTACCTAAAACACAATGACAGAAATAACACAAGCAACTCCAACTTCACCACTCTCACAACAACTCCATCCAAAGCTCTTAACAATTCCAATTCCCAATCTATATAAAGAGCAAGCCCAAACCCCATTTGCATACTAATCCAAGAAACCTTCATGTTTCAGTGCAAACAAAAACTCACCAATCTCTCTCTCGTACACAAGCATTTCAAAATGTCCAAACAATCAACACCAACCCTTTTCATTGCAATCCTAATTGCAGCTATTCATGTGGTGAACGTTGCTGCTGCAATTGAACCTGCAACAACGGGTGGAGAACCGGTTTTCGAGCTTTATCTGCACGACATTCTAGGCGGAAGCAGCCCTACAGCGAGGCCAGTCACCGGCTTACTTGGCAACATCTACAGCGGCCAAGTGCCCTTTGCTAGGCCAGTTGGGTTTCTTCCTCCAAAAGGCGGCGTAGTCATCCCCAATGCCAATGGTGCCATCCCAACCCTCAATGCCAATGGCATTCCTTTGGGAACTGGCTTAGCCGGTACGAGTTTTGCCGGAAACCCTAACAATAATGGCAACACTTTGTCCACCCAACTGGGGCCCGATGGACTTGGACTAGGGTTTGGAACAATAACTGTCATCGACGATATCTTAACGTTGGCTCCCGAGTTGGGATCGCAGTCATTGGGGAAAGCCCAAGGGGTTTATGTTGCAAGCTCTGCTGACGGAACTACCCAAATGATGGCATTTACTGCTATGATGGAAGGTGGGGAATATGGTGATAGCCTAAATTTCTTTGGTGTGTATAAGATTGGAAGCACTATGTCGCGCCTATCGATAACTGGTGGGACCGGTAAGTTTAAGAATGCTTGCGGGTTTGCTGAGATGCGCTCGCTCATACCGGCTGGTCAGCATGTTACGGATGGTGCAGAGACATTGTTGAGGATCACTGTCCATCTGAGTTACTGAGATTGCTTTGGTGACTGAGGAAGTGAGGAGTGAAAAACAAATGTGTGCTTGTCTGTGTGAAAAATGAATGTGCTCTTGTGATGTGGTTTCTCTATGTCAATGTGGCAATGAATGAATGAATATTTTTTATGTTTCATCTAAATTTCAACTTTTGTTGGTAAAGGACTTGCAGTATACTAGCAGCCAATCTTAGCAATCAAAATATAGATAAGCCTAAATGTGAAATGCATCAGAGGTAAGATCTCGAGAAATGCCTCACAAATTCAATTGGTGCAAAACAAAATCGGACAATAAAATGTTTTAAAACACTACTGCTAATATTATTTTACCATAAAACAAACATGTGAATATCCAAAATGAAGAAAAGTGAACACCTGCCCAAAACTAAAAAAGAAGAAGAAAAGGAAAAAAAAGAAAAGAAAAGAAGCAGAGTCATGATAACACAGATCATCATCCAACAAGAAAAACCAGACGAAATTTCCTAAATTACGTTAAGTAGCTACAATGAACATGCAAGAGAAAAACAAGATGCCACATAGACAACAATTGTTTAATTGTAGAAAGTAGCGAGGTCATTATAATTTTCAAAAGAATAAGTTAGCAATCAGATATTGCCTATCATAAAAGACTTATGGGGCTTAACAAGCCAACTTGTCAATTCAGTCATCTTCTAATGAACATACAAGCATTTTACATAACTCAAACAAGTCAACTGGTTTATTTACATACCATTTACATAGCTTGTAATGTGTCATGACATGCTGATGATGTTAACTCGACGAATAACAGTAGCTTGATCTAGCCCATGAAGTGAATCAATCAAATGCATCCGTAGTGAAGCTGGACCCTTAGCCAATTCCATCCCAATCTCACCAGCAATGCCAAATATGGACAGTGCAGAGGTCGTTGCTTCAAAAGCATGTAATGGGTCAATTGCAACAAAGGCAGCAATGAGGGCAGTGACAGAGCATCCTGTGGCTGTGATCTTCTGCATCATGGCCACACCATTTCGTGCACCAACAACTCGTTGCCCATCTGTAATAAAGTCAACAGCTCCAGAAACTGCGACTATAGAGCCACTAGTTTGAGCCAAGGACCTTGCTGGTTCCACAGCATCGGTTGATTCGTCAGAGCTATCTACACCCTTGAAACCAAACAATTCTAGTTCATGGAGTTGAAATGGGTGTAAAAAGAAAAGGGAATTGGCAGATTAAAAACACAAGCATATTCAAGCACGATTGAGAGTATGCTGAGCATGCTCAAATGTGAATCTTTCACACATGAGTTCCAAATCGTTTAACTAACAAAAGATTAATAGAAGCCCATGCCAAGATAACACATGTAACCAAACCAAACCAAACGAAACGAAGCCTTAAGTCCCATCAAATGGGGTCGGCTACATGAATCCTTCTTCTCCACGCGGCCTTATCAAAGGCCATTTCATTAGTCAAATTAAGTAGATTCATATCTCTATTTATAACGCTAGTCAACGTTAATCTAGGCCTACCCCGTCCCCTAACACTTCCATCTACCGTTACAGTATCGCATCTCTTTACTACTGCCTCTGTTGGTCTCCGTTGAATATGACTAAACCATCTCAAACGATTCTCTCTCAACTTATCTTCTATCGGTGCTACTCCTACCCATTCCCGAATACACTCATTCCTAATCCTGTCCTGTCTAGTCTTACCACACATCCACCTTAGCATCTTTATCTCAGCCACACTCATCTTATCTACATGTTGTTTCTTAGTTGCCCAACACTCCGTCCCATACAACATAGCTGGTCTAATAGCCGTTCTATAAAACTTACCTTTTAGTCTAGTGGGTATTGGTTTATCGCACAATACCCCAGACGCACTTCTCCACTTACACATGTACAAATTTTAAAATTTAATTTATATCACATTTCAGGCTCTCAGATTTTTGCATTATACACACTTTCTTTTCCTATCTTTGCGCAACTCCACCCCATCATCGGCCCCCATCCACCCCCGGCCCTCTCAAAAAAAAAAAAAAATCATATTAAAAACAAAAACAAATAGAGTCTAACTATGAAGTCCTTGTTTTCCAGTCCTCAATAAACTTGTAAATTGTTCAAGTAGTTATCTAAATTAATCTTATAGCTACTAAATATTTTCATTCCATAATCCCATTTGTAAACTGCATTACTTGAGTTGTTTAACAACATTTTGATAAACAACTTAATTCAAGTCTCAGTATCCATTGTTTAAGTTCATTAGCATCTTGATAAACAATTTTTAATTCTAGCAGTTTGTCTCAGCAAGTTTTTCATTAGCATTTCAACTGTGTTACAGAGTACATTATTCTAGTGTTGCTAACATATTGATGGAATTCTCAGTTTCAATCCATAGTCACAAAAACCTCAAATTAATGTACAACAATTACCCAAACCTATCACTCCTATCCACCCAAATATGGTTTTAACAGCAACAAATCTCAGATTCATAATAGCACCAATTGCCACAGATGCAATAAAGATATTACCTTCGAATACAGAGCACAATGAAACATTTCAACGTTGAATCAACCAAAGTAACAATTAAACAAAAAAAAAAAAAACCCTAAATTGCCCAAATCCATCATCCCTGTCCTTTCAACATCACATATATTAATCATCAAATTCACAATAGCACCAATCACCATATATGAAATTCATGTGTGTGTATATATATATATATATATTACCTTAGTGTGTCCCAATGAAGCCTTGGAAAGAGCAATAATCTCAGACCCATTTCCTCTAATAACAGTAGGTCTCAACCCAACAAGCTCAAGACAAGCCTTCAACCGGAACCCGGAAGCCCCGGCGGCGACCGGGTCGAGAACCCACGGTTTACCCGACTGCGCAGCCACCTGCGCCGCCGATTTCATCGCCGGGACCCAGTCGGCGGTGAGAGTACCGACGTTGACGCAGAGAGCGTCGGCGCGTGGGGTGAATTCAGGGATCTCCTGGAGCGAGTGTATCATAGCCGGAGATGCGCCGACGGAGAGAAGAGTGTTGGCCATGAGATCCATGGAGACGAAGTTGGTGATGCATTGGATGAGCGGTGATCGTTGCCTCAGAGTTGATAGGTGGGTCCAGACTATTGGTGCCCACTCGGTGGAGTGTTGATGTTCTTGCGCTTCGTCTGTGTTGTCTACCATTGCCACACACACACACACACACAAGATCAAGATATCTCTCCAGAACGCGTTGTGCAAGCCCTTTGTCCCGTTGGGTAACTCTATTTTTTTTAACAACAATGATTCATCCCACTAAAAATATCACCACTAATAGCACTAATGCATTAAAAAAATAAAAAAAATAAAAAAAATTACAACTCCAAGACCAAAACATCACATCATTCATGACGGGACTCACTGTCACCTAATTAGTGAGAGCACTAATTAATATTCCCAAGCATTTTTCTTTTTTTAATTCTTTTATGAGATAAAAAGAAAGGAAGCTTTTTTGACAAATCTATTTTTTAAGAGTTTTATTCTATTCAATTTATATTTTTTTTTGACTATTTTATTAGATCTAATTTGAGATAAGAAGATTAAAATATCATTTTCATCTACTTATTTTCTATTTAGTTCATATTATTTTTTTATGTTTCAATAAGTCCTATGGGTGACATAATTACCAAAATATCCTTAATGTGAATGTTCACACCGTCAATATAAATGTTTATATCGTCAATGTGTAGGGGTCCGGCTCATGTCGATCCTCGTGGGTGCCCGG